AGAAGCGCAGGTCGCGAGTCTGATGAGGAAGAAAAGAAAGAAAGAAAAAAAGAAAAAGAAGAAGCAACTGATCCTTATCTCATTTCCTTTCTTTTAAGTCCCTCAACTTTGGAGTTTTTAGCTATTAGGCCCCAAAACAATATTTCTCCCAAAATAAGTCCCCTAACTTAATTGATAAAATTCTCAAAAATTTGGGATATTACAACTTTCGAGTTGATTCTTTTGGTCTTTAAAAGGAGCTATGAGAGAGGGATTGTTGTATTTGCCACCTTCAATATGAGGGTTGCTCTTTATAGAGTGAGGATATTTACTAGAAATGATAGGGCCATATTTATTGTCATTTATTATTATGTATACGTGAGATTCTCAAGTTGCAATCTTTGATCCTCATATGTTTTCCATCTTTGTTGTTATTACAACAATGTACATCTTCCTCTTCCTATCATCTTTGTTAGTTGTGTAATCATTTTGGGTCCTTGAAACCCTAGTCATCATTACATAGCTCTCTTGGCTTGGCTAGAACATTTATATTTTTAGACTTCGTTGGGAGGTTCATTGTTGGGTATCATTGTTGGACATAACAAGATGGCCCGAAGCACATAGCCTTTCGCACGTTAAGGGGATGCCGCCAAAATGACCCTCCTCACTTCTTTTACGGGTGGCATCCTAGTCAGCCCCCACATCACCATTGCTGCTGACTTATCATCCTTCATCACTAGCACACCCCAACAGTGCTCCCTCTCTCTCTTTCCCCTTCTCTTAATTCTCCTTTTCTTCCTCTTTCTTACTTAAATTAGAGAATTTTTTAGTTTTGCCTAAAAGCTTGATTTAATGTCAATGTTGATTTAAATGCTACAAACCCTGTTAATTGGATTATTAGCACATAAAATGAGTTTCATGACATGTTGAGAATTAGTATGATATTAACTATCATAATGCTTTTGTTAATATGTTTTGTGAAGTTAAAATTGATGATGACAACTGAAGTTGGAAATACATACTTTGAAATCTTGATGTTTAGTGCAGTTTGGACTTAGTTTGGGTAAATGTGTATATGATTACCGTTTATGAGAACTGTTCATGAGTACTGCTTATGAATATTGTTTACAATACTATTTAATTACTTAATTAAGTATAATTTTAAGTGTATTTCCTCTCCTATGCTTATAATGCATGTTTAAAGTTTTTTAAAAGCAAGATTTATCAACTTAAACATGCCTATATTATAAGTTCATGACTAAAAATCTGCATATTGAGATAGATTTATTAGACTAATCGACAAATGAACTAAAAAATGCATAAAATCATTAAGGAACAAAACTATACAAAATCCTAAAGTTGAGAGAGCAAATTTTGGCAATTAACCTTTTGAAAAATGCCCCTTCTCTCTCCTCTCTTTTTTCCATTAATGGCAGACCCATTTAGTCCCCATTTGAAGCTACCCATTAAATTTTATTCTTTTTCCTCTTCAATAATTCAATCACAAAATAATAAATATCAGCTTGTCTTATGAAAAATGAAATAATGTTGTTCCACACCCAAAGGTTCTTTTCTCTCTTTTCATCCTCTTCTTTTCCATTCAATTCCCTTCACACTTAATTATTAGCCCTAATTTTTTTATGAAATTAATCATAACCTATCTTTTTGATATTATATATATTGAATGGGAATCGAATTGGATTTGTTCCATGGCTATTAACCTCACCAAGACCAAGCCCCCAGTACATCCAGGTTCAATGGTAAATCACAAGAAAATATTTCTTAATGACATGTGCTATGTTAGTTGTTAAATTTTGGGCAATGATATAGAAACAACTTTTTCGTAATATTTTTATACAATTTTCACATGTTATTAAATAAATAGATACACTTAATATTATTATAGATGACCACTTAAAAAATTATTTTCAAATGAAATGAAAATAAATTATTAAATGAAAATAAATTATTAAGTGTAAAAATATGAAAAATAAAAAGCTGTCACTTGTCCAAATTATGAGATAGGATAAGTCATCTAAAATGGATATACATAGAAAGTAGAGGTTCGAGGTACGATTAGGAGTGAGGAAGACTATACGCCTACCTCACAAAATCCTCTATGTAAAACACGATTTTATACTTTAACATTTGAGAACTTATTCAATTGTTTATTGTTTTTGGTTTTGATTAAGTGGACTATAAAAAGTAAATAAATGAAATTGTAGTTGATGAAAACCTTTAAACTCAATTGGAATAGAATAAGAGAGAAGCAACCACAATCATAACAAATTAAAAGTTAAAGGACTAATTTGAAGAAATTTAAAACATGGAAGACAGATTTGGAATAATTCAAAACCTCTACACTAAATTGCTTGATCTGAGAAAGTTATAGGCAAATTAGAATTAATAAAAAGACAAGTTTGTCTTTTAAAGTTTTGACCAAAGTAAATTAAACACGATTAAAATTAATTAATCAAAATAATTGGTTTAATTGAATGATTACTTATAAATTAATTAAGATTAATTAGAATAATTAATTATTTTCATTAGCTTTTAATTAAAATAGTTAAACTAGTCTATTTGTCTTAATAAAGATTTCACTTTAGTAATATTACTCACAGTACTTGTTCGCATGTCGCAGATTTTTATAGTATCTTTCTTAATTTATGCAATTGATAAATTATTCATCCTTACCTTTTTTTATAAAGAAATACCAAACTCATTTTATGGAATTAATACAATTCTTAAATAATTTAATAGAATTCTCAAATTTTTTTCATACATTATATATTAAATTATTAATTAATTTAATTTTAAATGATAATACATCTAATTAAATAATTTTACAATCAATAATTTTTTAAAATATAATTATCGAACACTAAAATATTTTTCATGACAATATAACATAATACTTTTAACAATTAGAGTTATAAAACAACACAAATCAACATTCTCAAACTAAACCAAAAACTAATCAAAGGATGAATCAAATAATTTTAATTTAAATTAATTAAGTTAATGAATCATGCTTTAAACTAATTATTAAAATATTATTATTTTTTTTTAATTTGATATTATATTTTTTATTAGGTCAAAAGACTGTTGCAATTTAATGGACTAGGCCCAGTTCCTTTTTTAGTCCATAATCCCTAAGCTAAAGAGGCCAGGTTGACAAGGTCCATAAACAAGAGTTGCGTAATGAAATGGGTTCAAATAGATCAAACAAACACTTATGGAATCACGGTCAAGAGAGCCTGCACAAATAAAAACAACATAACACTATATTATTCCATCAATAACAAGAACTATTCCAATAACTTATTGGTTCCAGTAGACTAGAAGGAATTCAATTTTAAGTAAAATCTTGATTTTGAGACCTAACTTGATTCGGATTAATCGGAGGCAAGCAGTTGCCGAACATCGAGAGGTTAGTTAAGAAAAAAAAAAAAAAAACAAGAAATATCCATTGAACCACACTTGAACAAACACAGGCCTGAATTCTTAAGGAGCGGAAATTGGGAGGCAAATTAGCTCCGGATCGGGGGTGCTCGCGGGGTAGTCGCCAGATATTTTCCAGATCCTGTGTAAGTAGATATACCTAAAAGCAGGAGAACGAGAGTGAGAAGTAATCGAAGATGTGCGTCGCAGTCCGTTTGTGGTTGCTAGAAATGGCGATTGTTAGGTGCCGATGAAGATGAGATGAACAGGCCGCAGAAGATGATCGGAAAGAGAAACAATGATGTGATGGAAGTCCCGAGAGAGGTGTGCGGCTGCTGAAAACCCAAAAAATGAAAACTTTCCCAAGTTCCGTCAATAGAGAGGAAACAAGTATCTTGAAGCTTCCTTTTGTCTTTTTGTGTGCGGCCCCATCCAAAATGCTCTAGACCTCTGCTGGTGGCTTTTAGCGTTTCTTCGAATAAAAATTAGTAAAGGTGAGCAGAGGGAAGAAAGGGGAAGGTGAGGAAAAGAAGGAGAAGTAAAAAAAGGAAAAAATTTAATGTTAATTTTATTTATATAAAAAGAAAATAGAGGAAAAAAGAGGATAATACTTTTATTTAATTAAATAATTTTAAAATATAAAATGAAATAAAATATATTAATTAAAAATACATATAAGTTTTAATTATAAAAAAAATTAAAGTATTAATTTTAAATTATATCATTTTATTTAATTAAAATTTAATTTTTAAATAAAATTAAAACTCTAATTTTATAAAAATCAAAACTAATACATACTTATCTCTTAAAAAATAATTAATATAAAATATATTTATATATTTATTTTTTAAAAAATTAAAAAAATTAAATTTATAAAATTAAATTCCTCTTATCCCTTTAATCTAGAGGGATTAAAAATAAAAGAGTTTATCTCCTTCTATCTCCCTTCTTCTCCTTTAAAATTAATAACCAAACAAAAAGGAGGCATCTCCCTCCTTCCCTCCCCGCCTTTCACTCCAACTTCTCCGATCTAAATCAAAACTTAACTTATTTTTGAATGAAAATTAGTAAAAAAAAAAGGAAGGGAAGAGACAGAGAAGGAAAGAAAGGAGAAGTAAAGGGAAGGAAAAGATTGATATTAGTTTTGTTTGAATAAATAAAAGTGAAGGAGAGAAAAAGACAAAATTTTTATTTAATTAAATAATTTAATAAAAAAATAAAATAAAATAAAATTTTAAAATTTATTAATTAAATAAATAGTTAAAATAAAATATTTATAAATATTTATTTTTTAAAAATTAAAAACAAAAATAAGTTAAATAATTCAATTCGTTCCAATCCCTCCAAATTAGAGGGATTGAAAACGAAAACAAAAAAGGGGAAGGAGGTTCTGTATCTCTGCATCTCCTTTCTCTTCATTACAATTATTTATTCAAATAGAAAAAAGTTCCCTCTCTCTTTCACTCTTCTCTTCTTC